AAGAGAGCAATATTGTTAAGAATAAAATTTGCTACAACTTTTGTTCTAAAAGTTTTTTTGTAACATGCCCCAATTCCTAAATGTTACCATTAGCTAGTAATAAAACAAGAAAATTCATCAAATTTTCATATTTTCGTATTTTTCTCGATATCTATGCATCTGAGAGCAAAAGTGAAAGAGAACAATATTGTTAAGAATACAATTTGCTACAACATTTGTTATAAAAGTTTTTTTGTAACATGCTCCAATTCCTAAATGTTATCATTAGCTAGTAATAAAACAAGGAAATTCATCAAATTTTCATATTTTCGTATTTTTATCGATATCTATGCCTCTGAGAGCAAAAGCGAAAGAGAGCAATATTGTTAAGAATAAAATTTGCTACAACTTTTGTTGTAAAAGTTTTTTTGTAACATGCTCGAATTCTTAAATGTTACCTAGCTAGTAATAAAACAAGAAAATTCATCAAATTTTCATATTTTGGTATTTTTCTCGATATCTATGTCTCTGAGAACAAAAGTGAAAGAGAGCAATATTGTTAAGAATAAAATTTGCTACAACTTTTGTTCTAAAAATTTTTTTGTAACATGCTCGAATTCTTAAATGTTACCTAGCTATACTCTGTTTTTAAACCAGGAGGAGTAAAAGCGAAAGTCAGATTTACACTAGGAAAAGTCACCAGAAATTTATTTATTTACTTATTATTGTATTTATTTTCGTTTGTTATCGTCAACACTAAACATACAAATTAATGTTGCTGTTATGAGTGTATTTATTTCAAAATATAATAAAGAAGGGTTTAAGAACACAAAATTTACAATAATGACACGAAACTGTCGAATTGTCAATAACCTAACCTTCAAATTCAAAATTGCCTGTGTGTGAACCTTCCTCGCATTCAACCAATCACGTGCAAGGTCAATCTGGTGACAAATTTAAAATACTCCTCCTGGTTTAAAAACAGAGTATAATTGCCAAAGAAAACTTCAAGGTATAATTAATGTTTGTAAACAAAACTAACCTTACCTAACATTCCTTCACGCTATAATTGACATTACAAAAGAAAACTTCACGCTATAATTGCCATTACTAATTNTCAAAAGAAAGCCCAATTAATTAAAATATCAGAATCATACAGAAAATACCGTTTCAGTATCTAGAATTTTTAGCATTTGGTTACTTAGCATAGCTTGAAATCGACAAAATAGACATTTAAATCATTTTTTAGGTAATTTCCGTGTTAATTGAAATATTTTGATGAATGATATGTCAAAAGAAAGCCCAATTAATTGAAATATCAAAGTCATACAGAAAATCCCGTTTCAGTATCTAGAATTTTTAGGATTTGGTTACTTAGCATAGCTTGAAATCGACAAAATATTAAATCATTTTTTGGATAACTTCTGTGTTAATTGAGATATCTTGATGACTGATATGTGCAAGAGAGCAATATTGTTAAGAATAAAATTTGCTACAACTTTTGTTCTAAAAGTTTTTTTATAGCATGTTCCGATTCCGGAATGTTACCATTACCTACTTAAAACAGCGAAATTCATCAAATTTTTATGTTTTCGTGCTTTTCTCGATATCTATGAGCCTGAGAGCAAAAGTGAAAGAGAGCAATATTGTTAAGAATAAAATTTGCTACAACTTTTGTTCCAATAGTTTTTTTGTAACATTACTCGATTTTCAAATATTACCATTAGCTAATAGTAAAACAAGGAAAATCATCAAATTTTCATATTTTCATACTTTTCTCAAAATTGACGCATCTAAGAACAAAAATGTAAAGGAGCAATATTGTTAAGAATAAAATTTGCTACAACTTTTGTTCTAAATGTTTTTTTATAACAAGCTCCAATTCCCGATTGTTACCATTAGCTAGTAGTAAGACAAGGAAATTCATCAAATTTTCATATTTTCGTATTTTTCTCGATATCTATGCATCTGAGAGCAAAAGTGAAAGAGAGCAATATTGTTAAGAATGCAATTTGCTACAACTTTTGTTGTAAAAGTTCTTTTGTAACATGCTTGAATTCTTAAATGTTACCTAGCTAGTAATAAAACCAGGAAATTTATCAAATTTTGATATTTTCGTATTTTTATCGATATTTATGCATCTAAGAACAAAAGTGCAAGAAAGCAATATTATTAAGAATAAAATTTGCTACAACTTTTGTTCTAAAAGTTTTTTTGTAACATGCCCCAATTCCTAAATGTTACCATTAGCTAGTAATAAAACAAGAAAATTCATAAAATTTTCATATTTTCGTATTTTTCTCGATATTGACGCATCTGAGAGCAAAAATACAAGAGAGCAATATTATTTAGAACAAAATTTGTTACAACTTTTATTCTAAACATTTTTTTATAACATGCTCCGATTAAACATCGAAATTCATCAATTTTTCATATTTTTCTCGATATTGACACATCTGCGAGCAAAAGTAAAACAAAACAATATTGATAACAATACTTTTTTTTAATTTTATAGAGTTTAAGTAACTTTTTCGGATCATTCTTTTCATCAATGCCGATAACAGCGTCATTATCCCGCTCGATGATCCAACAATCAGTCGGAGGAGTCAGCCAAATAGCGTCAATCATTTCCTGCACGTTACTTTTAATCGTTCTTTTATGGATCGCCCCAGTTTTCGAGCACTTACCAAGGGTAATTATTAACTATAACATAAATCATCGTTAATTAAATTAATTTCTGTTTGTTTTAGGCGATTTTAGCGAGCATAATCGTCGTGGCACTAAAAGGAATGCTAATGCAATGTACGAAACTAAAACTTTATTATAAACTTTCGAAATGGGATGCTTTCGTTTGGTTATTAACGTTTGTTTCGACGGTAACGATCGGGATCGATGTCGGATTGGGAATTGGAGTTTTAGCCTCGTTTTTCTCGATTTTTACGCAAAGCCACGTGCCTTACACGTGTTTGTTGGGTGTCGTTCCAAACACCGATTTGTATTTGGATTCGAAACGTTACAAAGGGGTTAAGGAAATTGAAATGATTAAAATTTTCCATTATTGCGGGTCGTTAAATTTCGCGACTAAACATACTTTTAAAAATCATTTAAGCAAGAAAATTGGTTTTAACGCGAACGAACTTTTAAAAAAATTAGAACAAAATAAAAATGCACTCCCATTAATTGTTGTTAAGTGTATTGTTATTGATTGTTCGGCGATTACTTATGTTGATCCGAGTGGGGGTGATTTATTACGAGATTTAAGTAAAACTTACGAAAAATTAGGGATTCGGTTTTATGTGGCGACTTGTTCTGGGCCGATTTATGAAACGTTAAAGAAATGCGAAAAGTACGATGAAAAGGAAGGAAGTTTAGAGTTGTTTCCGACCATTCATGACGCTGTTTTGTACGCGCAAATGAATGAGAATCTTCAAAATAACGTTGATAATGTTAGTAATGATAATATTGGAAGTGTTGAAGAAAATAGGAGAATATAATTAATTATTATTGTGAAAAGAAATTGTAGAGATTATTTAAGGATTAAAAAAATGTTATAAAAATTAGAATTTAAGAAAAAATTTAAAAAGTTGTAAAGAAAATTGTGAGATTTTTTAATTTCTCGCAGTTTTTTAAACCAAAACGTAATTTTGTTTGTGATAAGACCTAAAACTTAGAATCGATTTTCTAAATGTGTTCATCCTCAAATTACCTCTTACAACAAATATATTTTTTTATAAATTATTTTTGTACATTTTACAAAACGATAATGTCCGTAAGAAACGTTCAATCAGTAAAATCAATAAAATCATACATTTTAAAAACATTTTTAGTCGCTTTTCTTACAATTTAATGTTCCTTCCTGGTTAATAGCCTTGTTTTACTATTAGCTAATAGTAACATTTTGGAATTGGAGCTTTTTATAAAAAAACTTTTAGAATAAAAGTTGTAGCAAATTGTATTCTTAACAATATTGCTCTCTTTCACTTTTGCTCTCAGATGCGTCAATATTGATAAAAATACGAAAATATGAAAATTTCATGAATTTCTTTGCTTTACTAGTGTTAATGGTAACATTTTGGAAACGGAGCATGTTATAAATAAACTTTTGGAACGAAAGTTGTAGCAAATTTTATTCTTAACAATATTGCTCCCTTTCACTTTTTCTCTTAGATGCGTCAATACCGAGAAAAATAAAAAAATATGAAAATTCGAGGACTTTTCTTGTTTTACTACTAGCTAATGGTAACATTCGGGAATCGGAACTTGTTATAAAAAAACTTTTAGAACAAAAGTTGTAGCAAATTTTATGTTTAACAATATTGCTCTATTTCACTTTTGTACTCAGATGCGTCAATATCGAGAAAAATACGAAAATATGAAGATTCGATCAATTTTCTTGTTCTAATACTAGCTAATGGTAACATTCGGGAATCAGAGCTTGTTATAAAAAAACTTTTCAAACAAAAGTTGTAGCAAATTGTATTCTTAACAATATTGCTCTCTTTCACTTTTGCTCTCAGATGCGTCAATATCGAGAAAAATACGAAAATATGAAAATTTGATGAATTTCTTTGCTTTACTAGTGTTAATGGTAACATTTTGGAATCGAAGCTTATTATAAAAAAACTTTTCGGACAAAAGTTGTAACAAATTTTATTCTTAACAATATTGCTCTCTTTCATTTTTTCGCTCAGATGCGTCAATATCGAGAAAAATACGAAAATATGAAAATTGGATCGAAAAACGTCAATTTAGAGATTTGGGGATTTTAGCTTTTATAATTAAAAATGCGAAAGAATTGAGTTATCAACGAAATCGGTTCTGGATTATCATTCTATTATTTATTACGAACAATTTTTGTTAACATCGTTTTCATCCACCGTTGTTGGTTTGTTGTTAATTTCAACTTATATGTTGAGATTATTTAGAATATTTTTTATGTGTGTAACTTGGGTTGCCTATTTTATACTTTATAATTTATTAATTAATTTTTACTTTTTAAAATCATTATTTTTCAAGATGTTGACTTAATTTTAAAATTATATTACTTTTATCCTAAAAATTCGTAATCTTTGTGAAAAACCCTTTAAAATGAGCCCAAACACGATGGGTTTATCTTCAAAATTGACATATATGATTTATTTCAAGATGGCGGCTATGTAATTTAGGTTATCTACATTATATTTAAAGATAACATCGTGTTTGGACTCATTTTAGGGCAATTTTAACGTTCTTTAAGTCACATCAATCAAGACCATAAATTTTTGTTTATTTAGGTTATGTTTAATTAGGATAATGTTAAAAAAAATAATTTTTATTTACTTTTTATGTGCAGATACATAATCTTGATCAAAAATCCTTTAAAATGAACCCAAACACGATGGGGTTATCTTAAAATCAACAAATATCATATTTTCAAGATGGCGGATAAGTCATTTAGGTTATCTTTGCTATTTTTAACGATGACATAGTCGTGTTTGGATTCATTTTAAAGCATTTTTAATTTGTTACAAGAAAATATCATAAAAAAATAATTTTTAATTTTTTTGTTATGGTTAGGTTATACTTGAATGTATTAAATTAAAATTAAAATCAATTTTATGATAAAATTCGTAATCTTGATGAAAAATCCTTTAAAATGAACCCAAACTCGATGGGGTTAACTTAAAATCAACAAATATGATATTTTCAAAATGGCGGCTATGTCATTTAGGTTATCTTTGCCATTTTTAAAGATAACCCCGCCGTGTTTGGAGTCATTTTAAAACATTTTTAATTTTTTACAAGAAAATATCATAAAAAAATAATTTTTAACTTTTTTATTATGATTAGGTTATACTTGAATCTATTAAATTAAAATTAATTTTGTGATAAAATTCGTAATTTTAATCAAAAATCCTTTAAAATGAACCCAAACTCGATGGGGTTATCTTAAAACCAACAAAGATGATATTTTCAAAATGGCGGCTATGTCATTTAGGTTATCTTTGCCATTTTTAAAGATAACCCCGCCGTGTTTGGATTCATTTTAAAGCATTTTTAATTTGTGACAAGAAAATATCAAAAAAAAATCTTTTTATTTATTTTTTGTTATTGTTAAGTTATACTCGATTTTACTAAATTAATTTTATGATCAAATTCGTAATCTTAATCAAAAATGCTTTAAAATGAACCCAAACTCGATGGGGTTATCTTAATATCAACAAATATGATATTTTCAAAATGGCGGATAAGTCATTTAGGTTATCTTCGCCATTTTTAAAGATAACCCCGCCGTGTTTGGAGTCATTTTAAAGCATTTTTAATTTGTGACAAGAAAATATCAATATTTTATTTATTTTTTGCGATTGTTAGGTTATACTCGATTTTACTAAATTAATTTCATGATAAAATTCGTAATCTTAATCAAAAATGCTTCAAAATGAACCCAAACTCGATGGGGTTACCTCACAATTAAAATTTTTGCAGTTTTCAAAATGGCGGCTAAATCATTTAGGTTATCTCCGTCGTTTTTGGAGATAACCCCATCGTGTTTGGGCTCATTTTAAAGGATTTTTTGTGAGGATTACGAATTTAAAAAAACAAACAACAAATTAGTTTAAAAAATTTATTAATTTACAAACCGAATAAATTAACCCCGAAATTTCTTTTCACCACGATCCCCATTGCCTGTCAATTCGTTGATTCGGCATCATTGGGGAGTAAAAAAACCCCGCTTGGGGAGTTAACCATCTCTGTTTGATCATATCGCTTCCTTTTTCCGCAATCATAATCGTGGGGGCGTTCGTGTTTCCTGAAGTGACTTTGGGCATTATGCTAGCGTCAATGACTCGTAATCTATCAACGCCATAAACCTGGAAAATTAATTTTTGAAATAATTTCTTAATTTAAATTAATTAATTACTTGTAAATACGGATTCACCACCGCCATTTGATCCGATTCTGGCCCCATTTTGCAACTTCCAGCTTGATGATTCTCCGGCCCGGTTTGCCTCTTAGCGGCGCACTCCCAATACTCATCGGAGCCAAATTCGAATTTCTCGCACCCCTCAACTTTCGTCCGATCCAATTCGAAACCATACTTTTTTAAAGCGTCAGTTTCGCTCAATTTGATAGCAAATTTAATCCCTTCGATCATTACTTTAACATCATCGGGGTGAGTGTAATACCTCGCAAAAATTAAAGGATACGAACTAGGATCTGAGTCTTTTAACTCGATGTACCCGCGACTTTTTGGGTGAAGAACCGCAGGGATTATTTGAATTTGCCTGCTGCTATTATCGAGTTTTTCCCCGACTTGTCCCGTTTTGGCACAATTAGCCAAAAAACCGCCGAAGAAGAATTGAAGATCGGGTTGATTATCGATTGAGCTTGAATATTTCGAATTAATCATAGCGGTTACTTCAGACACTCCAGTTCCGCTCATTAACCCATCTCTAAATAACAAATATTCCATGGCTGTCGCCCAATTTAATGGGGCACTATTGGTGTCGTTGATGTTAAAATTTAAAAAAAACGCGACATGATTATGTAGATTTTGCCCCACACCTGGTAAATGATGCGTCGTTGGTATATTTAAGTTACGAAGATGCTCAGAATTGCCTATTCCGGATAATAATAAGATTTGGGGCGAATTCACCGCGCCTCCACTCACAACAATCTCTTTCGTTGCGTAAATAACCTGCCGAGAACCATCTTCTTTGAGTATCTCAACACCGTAAGCCTCCTTAGTGTTCGAATTAACCAAAACCCGCGAAACCGTCGTGTTTAATAAAATCTGGAGGTTCCTCCTATGCTTAAAAGGCCTCAAAAAGGCCCTCGCCGTGCTTATCCTCGACCCGTTTTTATTCGTCGTTTGTTGGATCGCAAATCCAATGTGGTTCATCCCGTTTAAATCGCGAATTTTAAACCCTAATTCCTCCCCGGCTTTAAGAATCGCTTTGGATAAGGGGGGGTGATAAGGAAATTGAGAAACCGTTAATAACCCGCCGGAAGAATGGAACCCTTGGTCCATCTTATCGATTTGTTGGTTATCCTCGCTTTTGAGGAAATAAGGGAGGATGTCGTTGAAGCCCCAACCTTGATTTCCCATCCTCGCCCAATCGTCGAAGTCTTTTCGAGCACCCCGTACATACATCATCCCATTCATCACGGAAGTCCCACCGAGAACTTTACCTCGAGGCCAATAACAACGCGCCTCGTGCTCGTTGAGGCAAGCTTCCTCCTCCGGCTCGGTTTGGAACCCCCAATCGATCGAGGAACCCAAAAAATTTAAAAACATCGAGGGGACTTGAGTCCCAGTTGGTTCATCCATTCCTAATTATGTTAAAAAATTACTTATCCATAAATATACATATACAAATAAATTTACCCGCTTCAATTAACAACACCCTCCACTCAGGAATCTCAGATAACCGACTCGCAACAACCGACCCAGCAGATCCGCCCCCAACGATGATAAAATCGTACTCTTGGAGGAGCGGAGTTTGGTTGAGGCGGCCACAAGGATCCTCAAGGTCGCATTGAGATCGCAAAAAGACCTCGAGGAGGCCCATGAAAAGCATAAAAGGAGCCCCACCGCACGTCGAGGCTAACGTGGGACCCGGCTGGGTTATCGGACAATTACAAGTCATCTAAAACAATAAATCAAATTAATTTTGTTACGATTAAAAAATATTCTGGGAATTAATTAATTAATAAATTTGAGAAAATCGATCTAAAACTGCTTTAACATGAAAGAGGAGAAAATTTCGTGAATTTTGATACCAAACACGACATATTTACGAATACGTCAAAATTAAATCAAGATGGCGTCGTTTTTGTTGATTTTAACCTAACTTTTTTGATTTTTAACGCAAATATATCGAGTTTGGTATCAAATTAAAGCAAATTTAATTTTCTAAATGATTTTGGTTAATTTTGTTACGATTAAAAAATATTCTGGGAATTAATTAATTAATAAATTTGAGAAAATCGATCTAAAACTGCTTTAACATGAAAGAGGAGAAAATTTCGTGAATTTTGATACCAAACACGACATATTTACGAATACGTCAAAATTAAATCAAGATGGCGTCGTTTTTGTTGATTTTAACCTAACTTTTTTGATTTTTAACGCAAATATATCGAGTTTGGTATCAAATTAAAGCAAATTTAATTTTCTAAATGATTTTGGTTAATTTTGTTACGATTAAAAAATATTCTGGGAATTAATTAATTAATAAATTTAAGAAAATCAATCTAAAACTGCTTTAACATGAAAGAGGAGAAAATTTCGTGAATTTTGATACCAAACACGACGTATTTACGAAAATGTCAAAATTAAATCAACAAATTCAAGATGGCGTCGTTTTTGTTGATTTTAACCTAACTTTTTTGATTTTTAACGCAAATACGTCGAGTTTGGTATCAAATTAAAGCAAAGTTAATTTTCTAAATGATTTTGGATAGTTTTGTTACAATTAAAAAATATTCTGGGAATTAATTAATCAATAAATTTGAGAAAATCGATCTAAAAGTGCTTCAACATGAAAGAGGAGAAAATTTCATGGATTTTGATACCAAACACAACGTAATTACGAAAATGTCAACATTAATCAATAAAAAACAAAATGGCGGCTATTTTGTTGACTTTTAACCTAACTTTTTAGATTTTTAAGGTAAATACGTCGAGTTTGGTATCAAATTAAAGCAAATTTTGTTTCCTTAACGATTTTGATAATGAAAACATTAATTATGTACCAAATTGTTACGTTAATTATGTAATAAAGTTAAGAAAATCAAACAAAAAGTGCTTTAGCGTGAAAGAGGAGAAAATTTCACGAATTTTGATACCAAACACGATATATTTACGAGTACGACAAAATTAAATCAACAATTCAAGATGGCGTCGTTTTTGTTGATTGTTAACCTAACTTTTTTTGTTTTTAACATAAATACGTCGAGTTTGGTATCAAATTAAAGCAAATTTTGTTTCCTAAACGATTTTGAAAATGAAAACATTAATTATGTCTCAAATTGTGACATTAATTATTTAATAAAGTTGAGAAAATCAATCAAAAAGTGCTTTAGCGTGAAAGAGGAGAAAATTTCACGAATTTTGATACCAAACACGACATATTTACGACTACGTCAAAATTAAATCAACAATTCAAGATGGCGTCGTTTTTGTTGATTTTAACCTAACTTTTTTGATTGTTAATGTAAATACGTCGAGTTTGGTATCAAATTAAAGCAAATTTAATTTCCTAAACGATTTTGATAATGAAAACATTAATTATGCCTCAAATTGTGACATTAATTATGTAATAAAGGTGTTTTAACGTGAAAGAGGAGAAAATTTCATGAATTTTGATACCAAACACGACATATTTACGAATACGTCAAAATTAAATCAATAATTCAAGATGGCGTCGTTTTTGTTGATTTTAACCTAATTTTTTTGATTTTTAAGGTAAATACGTCGAGTTTGGTATCAAATTAAAGCAAATTTAATTTACTAAACGATTTCGATAAAAAAAACGTTAATTTGGTTCAATTAAAAAATATCCGTGCAATTAATTAATTAATAAACTTTAAAAAATCGATCAAAAAGCACTTTAACATAGTTGGGAAGAAAATTTCGAGAATTTTGATACCAAACACGACATATTTACGACAATATTAATATTTATCAAAATGGCGGCGTTTTTGTTGATTTTAACCTAACTTTTTTTAATTTTAACAGAAATGTATCGTGTTTGGTATCAAATTAAAGGAAATTAAATCTAGATTACGAATTTGATGTCGAAATCAAATTATTTTTTAAAATTTCTTTATTACAAACAATTTCTTTTCTACGATTATTTAAAAAAAACTTTTTTGAGCGATTTCATCGTAAAGGTAATTAACAATCCGTAATAATCTCGATATATTTAGGTTGATATTTAAATTTTGTACAAAAATTCAAGATGGCGGTGTTTTTGTTGATTTTAACTTAATTTTTTTGATTTTTACCTCAAATATACCGTGTTTGGTATCAAATGAAAGGGAATTTAATCTAGATTATTAATTTGATGTCAAAGTAGCTTTCTTCGAGGCGACTTTTTTAAATTTTAACCTAACTTTAAGATTTTTAGAAATTTTTTTAACGTAAATACCGCGTGTTTGGTACCAAATTAAAGCAATTTTAATTTCTGAGTCGATTTTCGCAATGAAAATGGAAAAGAGTTACAATTTTGTAATAAACCTGAGAAGTTTTAAACAATTTCCGAGAATTTAAAACGTAATCTTGAGAATCTTAGGTAACATCTTGTATAATAACTTAAACATTTAACACACTTAAGCAATTTTCGTGCGACCCACTAATTGTATGCAAAAAAAGAACTTTATAACTTTATTTTTAACCCATCAATATTCATCAACGTATTTCTTCATTGAGTTTTTTGATTCCTTTTCGTGACATTTCAGGTCACGACGGTTTTATTAAGTTCTACATTCGATCACGACTTCGCTTCTTCACTCACCTTGATATTTATCTTTTTAAACTAGATGCGTTTACAAGTCTCGCTATGTTAGTTCTTCTTGGTGAAAGTGGAAATCGAAGATTTTTTAGAATTACCCTTGTTAAGTAATCAAAAAGAAGATTCGATTGTTCCAAGTCATTTATTTGGATGATTATTATTAATTATAACATATTTAATTACAAATTTTGAGTTAAATAATGAAGTGAAAGGATTTTTTTTTAAATTTGATTGTTTTTTGGAAAACAATGAGATGGCCTCTTAGATGAAGCGTTGTGAAATCGTAAAAATCGTTATTTCCTTCGTTTTAGACACAGTATTTAGACACAATGGGTAACGTAAGACCTCGTTTTCAATCATTTCTTACTTTTTTTCGTTAATTGTATAAAAAATATCAACGAAAAGTCGCAAAGGAGAACTCGAGGACGGAATTAAAGGTGACTTGAAGTGCAATAAAAATTGCAAAACGTCGAATCGACCACTTAAGAAGCGGTTTCTTAATGTTAACGCACTCGAGGTCGAGGTCTTCGCGAGTTAAACGACCTCAAGATGAAAAATAATGTTTTAAATGTAATCAAAAAGATTTTAGTTTGGTTACAGTTAAGTAAAGAATTTTATGGGTTTGCCCATATCTTTTTTTTTTTGGTTTGATTCGATTCAGTTTGTAACAGCACCACAGGGAAAGTATTACGATATAAATTACGTTTGGGATTTAGTTCTATTTCTTTTTCTCTCAACCTTTTTTAAATTTCATTCTGTGCTCTTTCGTTTTATCTATTACTCTAATACCCTTTCGTAATCGCACACGAAACGGTAAACGTGACATACTTTCGACTTTTGCAGGTGCATTCGTAACCACCGCGATTGCGAAATTTTCATTCTACTAAAAGATAGGGGAAAAATCACTCTCATTCTTAAAAAAATAAATACCTAAATAAAGTTTCGTTTAACTTTATTCCGAGATTTATCAAAATTGAAATTTATGATTTCCTAATCGCCGTTTCGATTTGCATACCAAACTCTGAAAGGAGTAACGGCAGCCTTTAAGTGCATTGTACCGTGTAATTTAACACTGTTGTTTGAACTTGATCTTGTCACATCGAGTTCGTCGCATTTAAAACCGATTTTCTTCAACTTTAATGTTTATTTTCGATTTATTGTCAACATTTTTATAATCCAATCATATTATTTTTCTATACTAGATCAGATTTGTATTCTAGATCAAATTTGCTTTAATTTGATACCAAACACGACATATTTCCGATAAAAATTGAAAAAGTTAGGTTAAAATCAACGAAAACGCCGCCATCTTGAATTATACTTAAAAATTCTTGTATCAACCTAAATTTATCGGGATATCTTATTTTAACGGATTATTAATTATTAATTACGACGAAATCACTTAAAAAAATTTTTTAAAAACAATTGTGAACAACGAAATTTTAAAAATAATTTGATTTTGACATCAAATTCGTAATCTAGATTTAATTTCCTTTAATTTGATACCAAACACGATATATTTCCGTTAAAAATTAAAAAAAAGTTAGGTTAAAATCAACAAAAACGCCGCCATTTTGCTAAAAAATAATATTATCATAAATATGTCGTGTTTGGTATCAAAATTCACGAAATTTTCTTCTCTTTCACGCTAAAGCACTTTTTGATTGATTTTCTTAACTTTATTAAGTAATTAATGTCACAATTTGAGACATAATTAATGTTTTCATTATCAAAATCGTTTAGGAAATTAAATTTGCTTTAATTTGATACCAAACTCGATGTATTTACGTTAAAAATCAGAAAAGTTAGGTTAAAATCAACAAAAACGTCGCCATTTTGTTTTTTATTGCTCAATTTTGACAGATTCATAAATATATCGTGTTTGGTATCAAAATTCATGAAATTTTCTCCTCTTTCATGTTAAAGCACTTTCTGATTGATTATTACATAATTAATGTCACAATTTAAGACATAATTAATGTATTCATTATCAAAATCGTTTAGGAAATTAAATTTGCTTTAATTTGATACCAAACTCGACGTATTTGCGTTATAAACCAAAAAAGTTAGGTTAAAATCAACAAAAACGTCGCCATTTTGTTTTTTATTGCTCAATTTTGACAGATTCATAA